CAGACATCCGGCAGGAAAGGGGGCCCGAACCCGCCGCCGCTGCCGCTCACGCCGACCACACCAGCGACGCCGCTCGCTCCGGGGCCTGTCGCCCCGGCACCCGCCGTCGCTGCCTCCTCAGTCGGACTCTCCGCCATCGCTGCTTCGCTTCCGGGGCCGCTCGGCAGCACGTCCGCCGACCAGAGCGGCCGCTACTCCTGCACCACAGAGAGCCGGGCCAGAGTGTCCCTACCCTCCGCTTCCCCTGCCCGGGCGGCGCTAGCTCCGCCCACCCCGCCAGGACCAGCGAGAGGCGCCGTGCCAGAGCGTCCACCCGGTCCTCCAGGGCGGGGACGGGGGCGGGGACGGGGGCGGGGGCGGGGGCGGAGGCAGGGCCGGAAAGCGGGACGGCTCGGGCTCCGCACCCGCGGCTGCAGCCGCTTCCGCACGGGTCTCGCGTTCGGCGGGAGGAGCTATGTGTCCACCTCCACTGAACGGTGCATTTTCCAACATTGACTAGTGAGAAGAAAAGTTCAGAGGGAGTGGGGAGAGCCTGATCTACTGTCCTAAAGGAAGCGATCCTCAACTTGCCCTGGGGTAAGACTGGAGATCTAGCTTCCTTGTAGGACAGCTGTTGACTCCCTGAAGGCCCTCAGGGCTGGGTGATCCGGCCTCCAAGGACAGGCTACCCTTGCTCCCTGCCTGCAGCAGGACCCAGAGGGAAGAAGGAATCAGAACCTGCGAATGATTGTAACTCTGTGTACTTTTTTGTGCCAGTCTTGAAGAATCTGGGAATTAAGTTTAGCTGGTCCTGAACTCTGTGTGTGTGTGTGTGTGTGTGTGTGTGAATTTCCTATAATGGGTTGTGGACCTGAATGATAATAGCTAATATTCACTGAAAATGAAAGTTATATTTTTTTGTATCTGCCATTTACTGTGTAGTCAGTGCCAGAAACCTTATCTGCTTTCTCTTATTCTTTACACCAGTTGTATGATGTAAGTACTATTATTAGTCTGTTTTGACAGATGGAAAACCAGAAGCACCTAGTGGTTCTGTCACTTACATGAGGTCATCAGGAACAAGCAGCAGAATTGGGGCTGTAGGCCAGACACATCCCACCCCAGACAAGTTCAAACCATTATGTGACACTGTTGCTACTTAGAACTCTCCCACACTTACTACTGTAATCCTTTGGTATTCACTGTCCTGTCCACTTACTCAGTCTCAATCTAGCTCCCTCCTTCTCTCCTTCCCTCCCACTTCTCTCTCTCTCTCTCAGATTTAACACAAAGTAATATGAACCCAAACAATATTTTATACAGATTTCATGTTTTGTTGGGATCGTGTTTTACCACTGTTATAAAGATGAGAAGAAGCTAGGGGCTGGTGGCTCATGCATATATTTCTAACTAAAGCTGCAACCTCAGGATCAAGATTCAAAGCTAGCGCAGGCAGGAAAGTCCATTAGACTCCAATCTCCAATTAACCATTAAGAAGATGTAAATAGAGGAAAGGGAAGGAATCTGGAGGAAAAATTGGGAGAAAACAAGGGAAGAGGTGACAGTGTTCAAAAAGAAATGCGGGGGGGGGGGCGCTGGGAAGATGGCTCAGTGGTAGAGTGCTTGCCTTGCATGCCTGAGGCCCTGGGTTCGATTCCTCAACACCACATAAGCAAAATGAAAAAAGTCGGAAGTGGCGCTGTGGCTCAAGTGGTAGAGTGCTAGCCTTGAGCTGAAGAACTGAGGGACAGCGCCCAGGCCCAGAGTTCAGGCCCCTCGACCGGACCCCCAAAAAAAACAACAAAAAAGAAATGTAGGGGCTGGGAAGTTGCCTCAGTGGTAGAGTGCTTGCCTCACATGCAATGCATGAGGCCCTGGGTTCAATTCCTCAGCACCACATAAGCAGAAAAAAAAAAAGCTGGAAGTGGCGCTGTGGCTCAAGTGGTAGGGCACTAGCCTTGAGCTGAAGAGCTGAAGGAGAGCACCCAGGCCCAGAGTTCAGGCCCCATGATGGACAAAAAACAAAACAAAAAAGAAATGTACTCATTTCCTTACTTATGTAACTGTAACCCCCTTGCACATCACCTTTACAATAACAATAAAAAATTTAAAAAATAAGAAAAAAGATGGAAGTGGCCAGGTGCTGGTGGCTCACACTTGTAATCCTAGCTACTCAGGAGACTGAGAGCCGAGCATCACAGTTCAGAGACAGCCCAGGCAGAAAAGTCCATGAGACTCTTATCTCTAATTAACGACCAGAAAACCAGAGCTGTGGTTCAAAGTGGTAGAGTGGTAGTCTTGAGAGAAAAAAGCTCAAGGACAAGACCTCGGCCCTGAGTTCAAGCCCCATGACCTACCAAAAAAAAAAAAATAGGGCTGGGAAGGTGGCTCAGAGGTAGAGTGCTTGCCTTGCATGCCTGAGGCCCTGGGTTCGATTCCTCAGCACCTCATAAGCAAAAGGAAAAAAGCCGGAAGTGGTGCTGTAGCTCAAGTGGTAGAGCGCTCGCCTTGAGCTGAAGAGCTGAGGGACAGCGCCCAGGCCCAGAGTTCAAGCCCCAC